CCTCCTGGAAGATGGTCAACTCCTGGGTAAAAGTCCGTCTGTTTAATGGCAAACCTCCAAGTGAAAAGAGGAAGGATGCTTTTTCGAGAATTTCTAGGTGTGCATATATACCGGACACTCTTAAATAATTAACTTCTTTTCAAATTGAAATCTTAAATAGGTATGAGATTTGCTTACTGATTTGTTGCTTACTCTAATATTCAATGCTAATTTTTTTATGTGGTGGAAGAAAGCCCAGCTGATAAAATCATCACTTTTTCCCCCCTTATACTAAGTCTGATTGGTGCTCTAAGTCAGAGGGCAAATTGATCTTAAGAAGATCATTTAGGTATACATTTGATCTTTGTACTATTTGAAGAGACATACAAGTTTCTGGAAATCAAGCTGCCCCCACATATGCAAGACTTAGTGTTATGTAAATAATTATTTAGATTGTGCATAAGCATTTTAAGTGGCTTTGGATCATTGAATTAAATGATATAAAAGTAAAGTTTTAAGTTATCCCTGGAAACCTACAGTTAACAGGCATCCACAAGAAAACTAAGTAAATAAATTATTATTTCCTTTGAATTCATTTATTATTCTTAATTTTGGTCATAAAAACACATAACTTATTTTATTATTGTATCTTAGTCCCAATTCAAATCCACCAAATCATCAGTAATGATTTAAAGTGCTCTTAATCCAATAACAATAATAATACATTATATTTTTGACATAAAAGGAGATTATTTGTTACACAATAATCTCCTGTTGGTTGAGAGGATGAATGTCTTCTCAAAGAAATCTGTCTTGTTCTTACACTAGAAGAGCAATTTATTTACGTTGCATTCTTCTGTCATGTGGAGTTTCTCCGTGTGTGTGTGTGTGTGTGTGTGTGTGTGTGTGTGTGTACTGGGTGCAGACACTTATTTCCATGAATAAATTTTAATGCCATTATGCATAATAACTTTATATAGTTTATTTAGCGAAAGCACAGAATTTATAAAACTCTGTATTCTCCTTAGAGTGTGTCATTGAGCATCTCCCTCCAGTGAATACAAACAGAAGAAGCATTTGCTTTTGTGTCGCCTAGTCCAGTGACAGGTTTGACCTGCACAGGTCCTCTTGGACACAGATTTTTTCAATAAATAGAAAAAATACTGAAAATGTATATTTTTATTCCTATGATTTTCTTTCTTTTTTTTTTTTAATCCTCACCTGAGAATATTTTTCCATTTATCTTCAGATAGAGTGAGAGGGAGAGAAAAAGAGAGAGAAAAACATTGATGTGAGAGGGACACATCCCATATGACCCCGACCAGGGCCAGGGACTGAACTGCAAGCGAGGTACATGCCTTTGACTGAATCGAACCCACAACTCTTTAGTCTGCAGGCAGATGCTCTAACCACTTAGAAATCCAGCCAGGGCCCTTATGATTTGCTTAATAACTTTTTCTTTTCTCCGGCTTACTTCATTTATATTGTAAGAATACAGTACATCAGAACATACAAAATATATGTAAATCAGCCATTTATGTTATCAGTAAGACTTCTGGTAAGCAGTAGGTTATTAGCAATGAAGTTTTAGGGGAGTCAAAAAAGTTGTACATGGATTTTCGACTGTGTGGGGGCTCCCTCAAACCTCTACATTGTTCAAGGGTCAACTATGTTGTTTCTGTCCTGTCTTCCCCTCTGATGTTATTATTCTGCTACCTGTGTATCTCTGTCCAATGCTCCATCCCCTGCCTATTAACATGAAATGATTTCTCATTACTCATTTATCTTTAATATAAAATGGTTTTCTCAGGCATTTGCAGTAATTCCTTAGTCATTATTGGGAGTTTAAAGTGTAGATTCCTCTCTAGGGATTTCTGGTTAAAGCGATGCAGAAGACTGACAGAAAGGGTGAAACACATTTATTTACATTCTGTATCGCACTAGGCTTGTGCGCATCACACTAGCTTGGATCACATTGAGCCATGACGATAATTAGATAAACAGATGCTGCAGCCCCGGCCGCCACCCCGACCTCCATGTACACACGTACACACAAACCCTTCGACACACATACAATCTCTAGAGATGGCTTGAACATCTGTCTTTACATTAAAAAATGACAATGATATACTTTGTTGTAAATTATTTTGCTAGATCCTTTGTATGGTATTTCATTTAATATCAAAATAACTCGCCCTGGCTGTTTTGGCTCAGCGGTTAGAGCGTTGGCCTGCGGTCAAGAGAGACCCGGGTTCGGTTCCCGCTAAGGGCACGTACCTCGGTTGCAGTTTGTCCCCGGCCCTGGTTGGGTCATTCGGGTGGCAGCCACTCGATGTGTCCCTTTCACATCGATGTCTCTCTCTCTCTCTCTCTCTCTCTCTCTCTCTCTCTCTCTCTCTCTCTCCCTCCCTCCCTCCCACTCTATCTGAACAAAATAATGGAAAAAATGTTTATCCTTGAGTGAGGATAAAAAAAATTAAAATAAAAAAAATAACCCAATGAGAAGAGTACTTCTACCCATTTTACAGGTAAGGAAATTGAAGCTTAGAGGAACTAAGTATCTCTCTTAAGGCCATGAGGCTAGTATTTGCTAGGGAGCTAGAATTTGATTCCAGGTCAGAACTCTTTTCAATATTATTGCCACTAAAATCTGCCACCACTAAAAACTGGTCCTACAAGTAACATGCCCCTAGTCATTGGAGAGGGTGGTTGGGGACCAGCGTGGGTCTGTTTTTTAGGGTCCTGGAAGAAAGAGAAAGCACATTAAATTGGATGATTTGAGAAAAGTTGAATATTGACAGTATACATTGGTGTGGGCAATACCCTTGTGCCAGTTACAATGACAAGGTTAAACACCTGTGGGCCTGAAGATGTGAGCCTCGGTTTAATGGAATCTGGAAAGAAGGGTGGCAGAGGGAGGGAGAGAGGAAGGGAAAGGTGAGAAGGTGGTTGAGCTGCTGACCAGGGCTGTACCTCTCGGTCCAGGGAGGTCACCTGATCACAGAAATCCTGGGAGGAGGAGGGTGAGGCATAATCTCGCCAGCCTTTGTCATGGACTGAATCCAACTAAAATCCAGATGGCAAGGGGCCTTAAGGACATAGTTTGTGCCCATCCACCACAGAGGATAAAGGAGGGTTACGAACGGCTCAGGGTCAGTCAGTTAACAAGGAGTGTTAGAAATGCACCTGCGTCACCCCACCCCTCAGGTTCACTCCCTTTCTCTCTTCCTGTAACTGACATGACAGAGACAGAAAAACAGCTGCTGCTTTTGTTTTCTGTAATCCCTGGCTGCAAGTGCTTCTGAAATGTACTGGTGCACTTTCGTCCTAAGTATTCATAAACATCAACAGGTGTGCCAGGGTTACTGAATTGCATACAAAGCAGGTAGGAGTTAATGGTTAGGCCTTCCCTCAAATAGGTACATATTCTTTAATAAGCTGTTTTGAGAGTTTTTGTTTGTTTTTGATTAGATTAATCAAGGTATAGTTTACATACAGAAAACTCACCTACTTTGCCTACATCATTTTGTCAGTTTTCACAAATGTATCCAGTTCTATAACTAACACAACAGTTAAGCTACAGGATATTTCCATCATTCCAAAAAGGTCTAGAGCTTTTTTAAATCTTTAATTTAACTAAGCTGAATGTTTGATATCAACTTTTGTTTCCTCTGATTTTAAATAGGAAAACTGATGTTAGCACCCACACAGTTAGTTGCACATAGTAGGTGCTTTTGTGAACAGTATTTTTGTTGGTTTGTTTTCCTACCCTTCTGACTAATATAACTACTCATATTGGTTATGAACACATTGCATATATTATAGGCTGAGGAAAGTTTCACATTTTGGCTGCACATTAAAGTCACCTGGATCTATTAACTGACCCAATGGCCAGGTGGTACCTCATTAAAGCAGGATGTCTTGGATCAAGACCAAAGCATCAATAATCTAAGCTTTCCAAGTAATTCTGTATGTGGCTCAGGTTGAGACCTTATGAGTTAGAACAATTTTTATCAACTCTGGCTGCACAGTAGAATCCCTGGGCAATTGATTAAACATACGAATGCCTTCCCCCCATTCTGATTTATATAACTTGTTCATAGATGTGGAGTACAAGAGAAAAATGACATTTGAGTGACTTAATATTCCTGAGTGGTTAGGTTCCAATTAATCAAGGTTTTACTACGGTTCTGGGTATATGGCTGTGTTCAGTAAAAGTTAAACAGGCATCCTAATCTCACAGCAGAGTGGAGGAGAATAAAATATGCTCTCTCTTAGAAGTAAACTATTTGTGTATTTGAAATAATTATCTTGGCAAATTATCACTTTCTGAAAATTGTCCTCCAAGGTAATTTGCCTCAAATGGTAAGCCTTGTATTTTAAGAGAAAACTGTATTTCAAGTACATTTTTTTCACCATAATATTAGGCGCATATATATCTTATGGCACTTTTATCATTTTCCCCAAGGAAATAGATAGGAAACAAGATTAAAAGACTGAGGATAAGATTTAAACCAACCCCCCGCTTGGAAGCATGAACAATGCTATTGCCCCTCAGTGCCTAGAGAATACTGCTATTTTGTAAAATTGAGCAGTGGTACTTTCTGCTTGTATAATGCCAAAACACACAGAATGAACACCTAATGTCGATAACTAGAACAGAAATGAACTAAGTGTCTAATGGAACAGTGATGGAATTAGCAAAATATTTACATATCATATCTTTTTCAGATTTCAGGACATAGTAACTAACAAAAATCTTTTAAACAGAAAGTTATTGATGACTTATTAAGGCAGAAATACTCATTTGGCAAAACCTCCCAAACTTCATCTTGCAAAAAATTCATCAACATGCTGCGTATTTTAATGTAGATGCTGTATTTAATCCCTCAACAGACAGCATTTTTTAAATATAAATATTCTTGGTTTAAAACAAAAAATTTATAAAGTTTGTTTAATGTGATCTTTCTTCTTATTATTCAATTGTTCTGCTCTTTTTTTTTTTTCCTTTTTCTTTTTAGGACCACCTCAGAAAATGGTGTCGCCGAAACAAGAACATGAAGAGAGGAAACATGACAAAGTCACAGATAAAGGAAGTGAGAGCGGGACTTCCTGTAATGAGCTCTCCACTTCCAGTTGTGACAGCCACTCAGAGGCCAGCACGCCCCAGGACAACCCACCCAGTGCCCAGCAGGCCACGGCTCACCAGCCTAACACCTTGACCTTGGATCGCCCTTCCAAAAAGGCACCTGTGCAATGGATGCCCCCACCGGACAAACGCAGAAACAGTGAACTCTTTCAGACACTCATCAGCAAGTCCCGGGAAACAAATCTTTCCAAAAAGAAAGTCTGTGAGAAGCTCAGTGTAGAAGAAGAAATGAAGAAGTGTATTCAGGATTTTAAAAAAATCCACATTCCAGATTATTTTCCAGAGCGCAAACGCCAGTGGCAATCTGAACTGCTACAGAAGTACGGGTTATAGTAATTATCACTTTCCTGCAGTATTTCAATGACGTTCGATGTTTACTACAGTGTCACCACCTGACTGTGTCTTAACAATGGTCAGTGTGATTCTTGCTGCTCTTCCGTTTTGTGAACAGTGGATGTGGGACAGTATTTTTTTTCATTCTGTTCTGTTGTTGTTGTTTTTAGAAACGTTTAAAAAAAGAAAACCAATAAATGTCGAATCAAAATGGTGTGTCTGATTCAAACCACTTTTCAAGAATGAAAGTAAAATGTGCATGATCAAGAAGCTTAGAATCTTGATTTTTGAACTGTGGTCAACTGGATATGTTTATCATTTTGTAACTCACTAAAATGAAATCATCATATCACTCCAGCTAAAATGACAATATGGATGAAACAACGTCAAGCAAAATGTTAGATGATGGAGTTGGGACCCAAATCCAAAACTGTTTAAATGTTAATGCAATAAAACAAGTATTATTTTTGCATGAGTACAATGTTTCAAACAAATCACAAGATATAGGAAAGATCTGTTTGTTGCTTGGAAAGAAAAAATATCACAAAATGTAAAGAAAAAAATGTTTCAGGCAAAGCCTATACATGTAAGCTATCTAGGAGATTGAATTTTGTTTGTTCAAGATCTGTGGTTTTTTTGTGTAATGTATGGTGTTCTGTATGTTAAGATGGTGTAAATATGCCTTATACTATTGTGTTCTGGCACTGACATTCATCTATTAATGCTAGTCATGATTATTTCTGTGAAATGAGTCCTTACATGGGGATGTGAAAATTGGTATAGTGATGTTCTGGAAGATTCTACTATCATATTAATCAAAATAATTGAGGGAAATGGTAAAGAGCTTTATGTATTTATTAAAAAAGGAAAATATATTAGAATTCCTTGATTTCTATTGACTCTTCTTTAAACATATTCAATTTTTACATTGTTTTCAGTTTTTCTTTAAAATTTCAAGTAGCGAATGATATCCTCAAATGTAATGTTGACAAGTTCGAGTTTTAGTATAATTCGAAATGAAGCTAGAGTCAGGTCCTAATAGCCTATGTATTGATTAATAAACCCTTAGCCCACAAGAGAAAAAGACTTTGAGAATGCACCAAAATTTTATTTTATCTGTCAATCAGATTGAAAGCCTCTCTGAAAAAAATTGGGAAGTTAATTCTTACAAATTAAGAGACAAAAATGTCAGTAGCAAGTTAAAAGATGAACCTGAATAAGAAATTTCTTCCTGGTTGCATATGTGGAAACAGGTTTTCTTATCATAAGCCTTACAATTTGTGCCTTACCATCCCTACAGAAAGGCATAACATAATGAGATTTCATTAAAAAATAGGCTGAGAGAGGATAAAAATATCTTCAAGAATTATAAAGCTCAGTCTCGCCTCTGAGGTTAGTTGGAATAGAAGTTGAGAAGCACTGTGGGTAATAGAGGACAATAAGCATTATTAACTCAAAATTTATAAATCTACATTAATTTTTGGATGTATTTTTAGATTTCTCACACTTCTAGTATGTAAAATATCTTCAACAATATACTATTTGAAAACACACACACACAGATATATGACATTACCAATCAGACTTTAAGGAAAGAGCTACTCTCGAAATCTGCATTTCATTTTGGGAAGGTTGGTAGTCCTACTATGGCTTGATATAGCTGTGAGACACTGGTTAAATGGATAGAACTTGGTGGTTAGGTTGCCACAGTTCAAATACCATGCCTACCACTTACTATCTGTGTGATTTCCCCTAAAATGGGGGTAACAGTAATATCATAGAGACTATTTAAATGAGGAAGTTGACAAAGCATCACCACCACTCCTGGAAATGTAAAGAAAAAAAGAGGTGGTGGTCTTACCAGAATACAGGAACCAGGACTATCAGATGAGGAATTTTGAATAGAGAAGAATAAATTCTCCAGTAAGAACTATACCCACCAAAGAATCACAGTCACTCTCAAAGATGCCTCCCAAAGTAAAGAGAGAGGAGAAAAATTATCCTAGCTTTCCACAATCCAACCTCCAGCCAGTGCTTCCCATTGTCCCAATATTAGAGGAAGCCTGTTGGCAAACAAGCGTGGGAACTGTAGTTGATAGGGGTGATCCCCTTCTGATACAAAGCCCAGCAGTGAAGGCTGGTGCATAGATCTGAAAAATACCTCACACCCTGCTCTGTTTTTTTTTTTTTTTTTTTTTCCTGAACACAAAACTTCAAATGGAGTCACAATGGCAAGAGTTGGCTAAGTGAGGGATATTTTTGATATTTATATCTTTACACTGTAAGAGAAGTGACTCCAGTAAGAATGTTTGTCCTTACAATCCTTAGTAAGTTAGAACCTATTTCAATAATAGTCTATGGAGCTCTCACCATAAACCTAGCATTTGGATCAGAGATTAACAACATATTCAAGAAATACCAATTACCAGCTATTGCTCTGGGGAAGATGCTTATGTGGTCTGATTTCCCTCACATCATTTTGCTTTCACCAAAGGCTAGAACCTGGTTGGCCCTAGTTGGAATTACAAAGGGAGCAATGGGGAACAGCTAGAATAGGGACTCTTCCCTAGTCTTCCTGAAGAAATGGAGACGCCAAAAGTTAAATATGAGTTGGGCTAGAACTGGTTTTTAAAACTACTTTTTCAACAAGTCAGTAGATAAAATATGGAGAGTCACCAAAAGTAAAAGGAGCTGGAAGCAGGCACTGATGTTGACTATATTTGAGAAATAAATATATTTTAGAGCTCACATGATATATCTTTTGTCTGATACACAGCAGACATTCGAGCTATGATGCGATGTATTATTCCTGTTAGTTCAAGTGGACACATACAGAGTGGTAACTAAGATGAGAAAAGAAAATAAATGTTAATTGTGAGATATTCAATTTTAGAAAAACGGAGTAGACAAACGTATCCTTATCCTCCCATGAAGAATAACTAAAAACCTTAGACATTGTGTATAAACACACCTAAGAGGCTCAGGAAAGGAAGGTCGGTTAGTACTACATGATGATGAGTTTCTGGGGTTTTCTTTTTGTTTTGTCTATTCCAGTCTTGGAGCTGAAGAAGCTGGTTACCCATAAACACTAACAGGTGCAGACAAAAGAAGCTCCAACAAAATCCTGCTGTCTCTAGCCAAAGGACCAGGAAAGGGACAGCAAAGCAACCTAGCAAGGTAGAAAACATTTAGATGATAACAGCTGTGCTCTGTCAGGTTATAGGTAGGCAGACAGAGTTCTATCACATAATCATTTTAACTTTCCTCACTTTTTTAAAAGAGAATTTGTAGGTTCAAAGAAAAATTGAGAAGAAAGTACAGAGATTCCCTATGTACTCCCTAACCCCACACATGTATAGCCTCCTTCATGATCAACTTTCCTCATTTGTATATTTGTTACAAATGATAAACCTACATTGACCCATCATTATTACTCAAAGTTCATAAATTACATTATTGTTTATTCTTGGTGTTGTACATTGTATGGATCTGGACAAATGTATAATGATGTGTCCATCAGAATGGTATTATGCAAAGTATATTCGCTGCCCTAACAATCTCTGTACACTGTGTATTCATCCCTTACCCTTCAACTACTAGCAAAGACTGATCTTTATAGTCTCCATAGTTTTGCTTTTCCCAGAATATTATATAGTCAGAATCATATAGTGTGTAGCCTTCTCAAATTGGATTTTTTTCACTTAGCAGTATACATTTAAGGTCCCTCCAGAACTTGTTATGGCTGAACAACTCATTTGTTTTTAGTGTTGAATAATATTTCACTGTCTGGGTACAGAACAGTTTATTTATTCACTTACTGAAGGACAATCTGGTATTTCTGAGTTTGGCAACTTTGAATAAAGCTGCTATAAATATACACATACAGGTTTTTGTGTGGGCATAAGTTTTTAACTCCTTTGGGTAAATACCTAGGAGCATGATTGCTGAATCATATTGTAAGAGTGTGTTTAGTTTTGTATAGAATTGCTATCTTTCAAAGTGTGTACAATTTGCATTCCCACCAGAAATAAATGAGAGTTCCTGTTGCTCCCCCATCCTCATCAGCATTTGGTATTGTCAGTGTTCCAGATTTGGCTCAAAATAGGTTTGCAGTAGCATCTCATTGTTGTTTTAATTTGCATTTCCCTGTTGACATATTATATCAAGCATCATTTCATGGACTTGGTTGCCAACTGTAGATCTTCTTTGGTGAAATGTCTGTTAAGGTCTTTGGCCTATTTTTAATCAGGTTGGTTGTTTTCTTATTGTTGAATAAGAATTTTTTGTATATTTTGAACAACAGTCCTTTATTATATATTTCTTTTGAAAATATGGCTTGTTTTCTTATTTTCTTGACAATGTTTTTCAAAAAAAGAAGTTTTTAATTTTGATCAAGTCTAGCTTATCAATTATTTTTTTTCATGGATCATGTTTTGGCATTATATCTAAAAACATAATTGCCATACTCAAGGTCATCAGGTTGTCTTGTATGTTATCTTCTAGGAGATTTATAGTTTTGCATTTTACATGTAGGTCTGTGATCCAATTTGAGTTAATTTTTGAGGAGGGTATATGGTCTTTGTCTTGCTTTATTTTTTTATATGTCCAGTTGTTTCAGGACCATTTGCTCTATTGTATTGCCTTTGATCCTTTGTCAAAGATATAAGTCTATTTGAGGGATCTCTATTTTTTTCTGTTGATCCAGTTGTCTATTTTTCACCAATATCACTGTCTTAATAACTGTAGCCTTCTAGTAAGTCGTGAAGTTGGATAACATCAGTCCTCTAACTTTGTTCTTCTCCTTCAATATTGTGCTGGCTATTCCTAGTCTCTTGACTTTCCATAGACACTTTAGAAACAGTTTGTTGACAATCCACAAAAAAGACATTCTGGGATTTATATTGAGACTGTATTAAGTCAACAGATCAAGTTGGGAAGAATTAACATCTGGACAATATTGAGACTTTCTATTCATGAATATGGAATATTTCTCCCTTTATTTAATCTTTATTTGATTTATTAATTAGAGTTTTGTAGTTTTCCTTATACAGATCTTCTACATGTTTTGTTAGATTTATAGCTAACATATTTTGTTAGATTTATAGCTAAGCATTTCATTTTAGAGAGTGCTAATGCAAATGGTAATGTGTTTTTAATTTCAAATGTTCATTGCTGAAATATTGGAGCTCCCCGCATTTGGAAGAATGAAATCCAAACACTTTAGTATCACATTATATATCCTCAGTAAAGTGACTCTACATCAGTTTACCTTTCTTGGGCAACAAACCACTTCCAAAACTTATGACTTAAAAACAACAACCATTTATGAGCTTGATATTCTGAGGACTGGCAATTTGGACTGAGGTCAGCTAGATTTTTCTTCCACTGATCCATTCTGGGCTTACGCGCCTCAATAATCTGCTGCTAATTTGTCAGGAGCCAAGGAAACTGTGATGGCCTTACTTCCTATTTGACCATTGACAGGCTTGCATCTGTTCTTTGCATATTCTCGCCAGTAGTTTAGTTCAAATTTATTCCCATGATGGCAATGTTCCAAGAGTGTGAGACCACAGGTTACAAAGCCTTTGGAGACCTGGCTCCAAACTCATACAACATCACTCCCCCTGTGTTTTGTTGGTCAAAGCAAGTTATCTCAAATTCAGGGAATATGAAAATACACTCTATGTCTTTATGGGAGGAACAACAATTTGCAGCCATTTACAATTTACTAGAGATCCAAACCTTCTTTCCAGATTCACACCTAGAAGCAAACTCTGTACACTGGTTATTAGTGATTTACTAAGACTCTACCCACACCTTAAAATCATCACACACACACACATACACACACACACTTCTTCATTCACATTTGAAATCTTAC